TGTTTTGCAATATAATGTATTTTTTTGTAAATCTAGACTGAGACTTGTTGGAAATTAAATAACAGATAATATTGGTAACTGTCAGTGCTACCGAATGAAGAACAGCTTTGGGTCTGAATGAGTCGGTTCTTATTGATGAGCTGAGCTAATTGATCTCACTTACGGAAAAGAGCCAGAATGGCCATCACTAGCTGTGCAGGTGTGCAGGCTGCTTTCCACTGCACTGTACTTTCAAACAGCCCTCACACTGCGATCTCTTCAGCATTCTTATGAACTACACAAAACATATTTCCCCCTAGTTTTAACTCTTCACTGCAATCAAATTTGGGACTTTTTAATACTCACAATTGAGTTAAAATAGTAGAGTATTTTAATAAGTTAAAATAACAGAGTATTTTGCTCACCCTGTTGAACCCTAATTAGGAAGCATGATTACATTGTGAATGATATCAGTGTTGGCAGATAATTGCTTACAAAAATATTTTAAAGTGATATTTGAAGATGTATTCACTCTGTTCCTGAAGAGCAGAATGTTTAGGCGATGCTGGGCTATTTTATCCATTTCACTGCATTTGTGGTGGATGTTGTCCAAATTCCTACATTTCATAAATGTTTATGTATCTGTATCATAAGGGCTGGGCAATATGACAATATTAAAACTATTCAAAAATAAACTATTCACTGTGATACAATACAATATGCTTTTTTCTGAACATATCATGGATATCATCAGTTGTATGTTTCATTATGAAGAGAGCAAAATTAGTCCTGTTTAACGCAATGATTTAATGCAACACAGTATGCCAAATACTGAATAAAAATAATTTTGCTCACAGTTTTGGATATTACCTTAAAAATGCAGCACTGCTGTTTTTTTTCTCAGTTCCAACTGATCAACTGAAAATTTTTTGAAGTATTGCAATATTATATTTTTGCCATATCGCCCACCTCTACTGTATCTGCAGATATGCACATGAAAAACACGGTATAAGCATCACCCATAATCTCCATATTGGTGCATCTTTCAGCCCTAAATGTAATCATTATTAGTCAGGTGTGTTCTAAGAAGTGAAATCACTGAAGACTCATGCATTCTTTTATAAGATAGGCCTAGTCAAGCCATTCTCAGTTCCAGGCTTGGGGACCTCATGCACATTTTTTGTGCTTTCCCTGCTCTAAAACACCTCACACTCAAGACATGAAGGGCTAGATAATTATCACCTGAGTTGGATCAGCTGTTAGAGCAGGGAACCTAAGTGCTTAGAAGAAGTAAGCACTGAGTGCTTACAAAAAAAAATTAAGCACTCTAAGGCAGATGGCGATTAATAAGGTTGTGACGAAGACAGACCTGCCTCCTCACCAGAACAGTACGGAACACCACACCCGAAGACTCTGAATTAAAATACATGCTTGTATGAAAAATGTAAAATGTATACTCACCTTCTTGTAGGAAATGGGTGGCATTGGCTGCATCTTCTTCTAGGGGCAAGAAGGATCCACAGTAATGTACAGCAAGACCTGTAACAAAAGAAACATTGTTAAATAATATTTTACGAATATATTCATATACTTATCAGTAATTAGAGCTAAAAGAAAACTATGGTATTAAAAACAGACTGCTGAAAGATTCTTTAAATATTTAGTACAACCCCGTTTACAAAAAAGTTGGGATGCTGTGCAAAGTGTAAATAAAAACAGTATGATGTGTAAATCATTTAAACTATGTTTAATTGAAAATAGTGCAAAGACAACATATCAAATGTTCAAACTGAGAAATTGTATTGTTTTTGACAAATATATATCAATTTTTAATTTGATGCCAGCAACACATTCCAAAAAAGTTGGGACAGGGGCAACAAAAGACTGATAAAGTTGTGTAATGCTTAAAAAGAACCTGGTGGAACATCTCACAGCTGATTAGGTTAACTGACAATAGGTCAGTAACATGATTAGGTATAAAAAGAGCATCCCAGAGAGTCTTTCAGAAGTACAAATGAGAAGGGGTTCACCCCTCTGTGAAAAACTGCAAAGGCAAATGCAACCATTCAAAGAATAGTTAAAAAAAAGTTGAAACTCTACCATGCAAAAAGAAACCATAGATAAACAGGATCCAGAAATGCCGCCACCTTCTCTGGGCCCGAGTTCATTTAAGATGGACTGAGGCAAAGTGGAAAAGTGACCTGTGGTCCAACAAATCAAATTTCAAATTCTTTTTGGAAATCATGGATGCCACATCCTCCTGGCTAAAGAGAAGAGGGACCATCTGGCTCGTTTTTAGCACGCAGTTCAAAAGCCAGCATCCATGATGTTATGGGGGTGCATCAGTGCACATGGCATGGATGACTTGCACATCTGTGAAGGCACCATTAATGCTGAACAATATATACAGGGTTTGGAGCAACATATTCTGCAATCCAGATGACGTCTTTTGCCCGGGAAGGCCTTGCTTCTTTCAGCAAGACAATGCCAAACCACATTCTGCACATACTACAACAGTATGGCTCCACAGTAAAAGAGTCCAGCTGCTAAACTGGCCTGCCTGTAGTCCAGACCTGCCACCCACTGAAAACATTTGGCGCATTATGAAAAAAAAAAATTACCACAAAGGAGACCCTGAACTGTTGAGCAGCTGAAATCCTGTATCAAGCAAGAATAAGAAAACATTTCACTTTCAAAACTACAGCAGTTGGTCTCCTCAGTTCCCACACGCTTACAGAGTGTTTTTAGAAGAAGAGGTGATGCAAGACGGTGGTAAACATGCTGCTGTCTCTTTTTTGGAACATGCTGCTGGCATTACATTCAAAATGGGCATATATTCATCAAAAAACAATAAAATTTCCTAGTTTCAACATTTGATATGTTGTCTTTGTAATATGAAATATAAAATTACAAAAGCACAATTACACCACAGATACTATTGTGCAAAATAAAAAGAAAAGGAATACTAACAGGTACTTATGTCAGAATTGCAAGCACATTTTTTGTGCACCGAAAGGCTGAGAAACAGTCAGCATTACCTCAAATGCATTGTTGTGTGTTTTGTAATTGGCTGTTTAGCCATTTAGCCCAAGCGAGACTGCTGGGTTCAAATCCCAGCGCAGAGACGCACTCATTAACGGTTTGTTCTAACGGCAGTGTAATGACCTCACTCTAGTGTTCATGTATGAGGTAATTTGATCTGTTCTGTCACTGCAGCTCTTAATCATGTGTTTATTGTTGAAGCTCATATCATGATAATCATAAAAATACTATTTAGCGTGCAGCCCTACTCTGAACCCACTTGAGCGTCACACAACATCACAAAGGTCCTTTAGTGGGAAAAAATAAGAAAAAAGTCAAATGCCACATAAAGCATCTACTTCACATGTGCATAGAGTGTAAAGAATGCCTGGGATCAATCTCCACGACATGGACCATCAGTGAATGTCATCATAACCTGTTTGTAACCTGCTGTAACAGGTTTCTTTTCATCATTGTTTCCTAAAATAAATTCATCAGCGGCTGAGCTCCTGTTCAGATGGTCTGAAACACTCACAAACGCGGAGATCAAAAGGACGTCTCAGCAAGTTACGGCCACATTTGCGAAACCTTAGCCAAGCAGGAGAGCTTGCACAGTGTACAACCAAAGACTGTCAGCAGAAAGAGAGAAAAAAAGAAGACAGAGCATCTGTCTTGCTTTGCTCTGTCCTGGGTGGATAAAGTTATTTCATGGGCTAATGAGGTTTTTAGTCTGCACAAAGAAAGCCCTGCTCCTGTCACTCACCAAAGGCCTTTGATAGGAAAGTCATTTTGATGACTTTGAGCTCAGCCACGGATAAAAGTAAGACTTGCAATTATCCTGCAAACTCTCCATGCTCCTTTCCGCGACTCTGTGGATGTAATCTCCTCGCTGCTTTTCATTAGCTCGCTTTATGAGGGGCTAACTCAATCAGGCCACAAAGTGGCTCGGTCTCCAGCAGCTGCTAATGCAGCATCCGACAATGTGTGTGCGTGGTAATTACCGAGTGTTTGCCCACCGTGTTCTAGCTCTGTCGTGACGCCGTGGCCTGTTACTTTTCTATTTCTGTCGAGATGCTGGAGCGCGGCGCAAAGATGTTGATTTGTTTAACAGGAAATAATACTGAGACTTTTTGCTTTAATTCTTATGTGACGTAGTCATGAGGAGTTGGGTCGTTCCACCATTGCGCTGACAAATGGTGTCCCCCAACTTTGAGGATAAAGTGAAAATGAGCTCAAATGAGCTCAAACAAACCACAGAAAGTTGATGTCTGTGTGTTCTTTGCTCTGTTCTCAAATTAACCCACAAAAAATTATGATAATTCTTCGTTTTGAATGTTTAAGTGATTTTTAGTCCTTTTGTGCATGGATAACAGCACATCAAAGCAATGACATCACATATGTTGAAGTTTCAATTTTGATGATTGTTGTTCAGTTTAAATAGTAAAAATGCATTTAAATACATACAATTTGACTTTGAAGCTAAAGTGGTAGTGGACTTTCAACTTCACTAATCTTGTCCAATATAACAGACTACATTTTACACTTGAATCACATATGAACCTTCACAATGACAGAATGACCCAGACACTGGCTACTTATAACATGCTAACATTGACGTTACATGATCAAACCAGAAAGAGATGCAGGGAAATTCCCGAAAAGGGACAGAGGCAATTGTTATTTTTCTAAGCGTAAAAGTAATTATCTCATTAGAGAGCTACAGGAGAAAAATAGCTGGGGTAACCTTACACTAAGCAAACTCCATCGCCCTCACAGCTGTGCTCCAGCTGAACCACATGTAAAGATCATCAGAGAGTCGGCTCTCATTCTCGTTAGATGTTAGATGCCAGGGCCCGACCCTTCATGCCACATGACTCACCATGGGTTCCTCTGTGGCCTTAAGACATGCGTTTCTGTGAAAATGAATGCACGAGTCTGTCAGTGTTCCACTGATTGCAGTGATCTGTTGCTCCTGATTTGCTTTGTTTGCTGTTTTACAGGAACGGTTCACAGACGACTGCAAGTTCAGGGAGCGGTTTCAAGAGAACAGCTACAACACATACGCCTCAGTGACCCACAAGAACCATCGGACTGGTCGAGAGTGGTTTGTGGCGCTTAACAAAAGGGGGAAGGCTAAAATGGGCTCCAGCCCGAGAGTGAAGTCCCAGCATGTGTCCACACATTTTCTGCCCAGGATGAACCTGCATGAGAAATCAGACCAAGGCTTTACGATAACGGACAAAGAGCAGGAAAAAGCTCCACCGGCTCCACCAAAGCCCCCCGTCCCGAAAGTCACCGTCAACACAGGCCAGAAGAAATCTCGAACAGTCAAGTACTGGCCCAAATTTAGATTTGGATAGACCAGCAATGTCTTAAACGTGGACAAAACTTGAAAACAGGGCAAACGTAGAAGACAGAGATTGTATTTAAGCAGCCAAAAACTCCAGTTCCAGAGGAATTTTTCACTTTATCCAGGCGATCAGCATTCCAGTCACCAAGTTAGTCAATAAAAAAGGGCTGTATAATCCAGTCGGGGAGCTTTTCCAAAGTTGAAAATGAACCTGTTGCCAATGTCTTCCCTGAGTCCCCCACAACACGCCATTAACATCTACAGGAGGATTTACATACTTTTTCTTTACTTTTTCATTGTTCCAAATATAAATCCACATTTTATGATACCTCTATTTATACAATATACTGTATTTATGTTTGTATGTACAAATTGCTTCATGTGCGAATGTCTTTTAACCTACTTCCAAATTCTGAGAATTTAATGTGATAAGAATGAATGTGAAGCTATTTTTTAACTATTCTTAAAGTTGACTTTACAAAATAACAACAGCACACAGAATCTGTCTCATTCTGTAATACTTGTCATGTTTGAAGTAAATATGAAATTATGTATTTGCGTTGTGGATCAAGATTCCAACTGCACAGCCTTATATATCAGTATTTACACACGTTCCTGAAAAACATGGAAAACTTGTTTAAAAGTTTTTCAGGCTGGTTTACAATTTTACAGACTAGATTTCCAGTCCTAGAAAGCAAATAAGAAAACTGATACATGTCCTGGAAATTTTAGTGAAGTCCTGGACAAGCATGATGTTGGGCGTATTAAAGGAAAATTAAAATGTCCTCACTTTCTTTTTTGCAATGAAATAGTGCGTGATAGTACATTAACACTGTTAAAGTTTTAAACTGTACTGGTCACTCGCCGGCCACAAAATCAGCCTGTTTTGAATTTCACTGTTTCTGTGATGTCACAGTAAACAGTCCAATTACATGTATCTGCCTATTCAGCTTCCAGCAGTTTAGCTCTGCTCATTCATGCTACAGTTATGAGGTGTTTCAGCCCAGACAGCTTTAAAAATGAGGCACAATATGGGGCAGCCAATCAGAATGGAGCTTATTTACACATATCAGTCTTAAAGGCACAGTAACAAAACCAGCCTCAAGAAAAAAAGGTCAAATACAAGGAAAATTTAGGATATGCGTCTGCTTTTTAAGCATATTTTTAGCGGCTAATTCCCAGTTTGAGTGTCTATTCATACAGTCATATGCAAAAGTTTCGGCACCCCTGATCAAATTATATGTTTTGTTGATTTTGAAGTGAAAATAAGTTAACACATCCTCTACAAGGAACAAACGTAGGTATAGCATTGTCTGCAAATTTTAGTTTACAATTTTTGTTCATTTGTTGAGCTCAACATATTGTAAACAAATAAAACATGAAATATAACTTTTTACAGGCCACATAAGTTTAACTTTTTTCCCTAATATATGAAACTCAGCAAATAAACAGTAATTGTGTATTAAAGCGTGCAGAAGTGTGTTCACTTATTTTTACTTCAAATCAACAAAACATGTCATTTGCCGGAGGTGCCCAGACTTCAGCATACGGCTGTAATGGTTGTGGTTTGGAATACTACAGCGTTGTGGATGCTGTATCGGAATGCCTGGTAGAGGGAGGCTACATTAATGCATGCCAGCTTCTTCCAACATTCACTTAAGAGACATAACTGTTGTGCATATATGTCATCACAGTTGCCCTGGAAGTTGTCCTTAAAAAGCCCTGGAGAGAGATTTCCTAAAAAGAATGGCAACCCTGTACTTATTCTAGAACATACGGTAACTGACTATTAAAACTAACATTCATGCTGCCGCCTGTCACAACCGCCAGAGCATTCCACTGCGGAGGGTCCTCCTGCGAGGATAAACATGCCTCGTAACACCGCCTCATGTTTTGAGAGGGTTCCACTCATAGGTGTATCAAATAACAGGCAGCCATGGAATGATCCATAACAAAACAGTCCTAATACCGTCTCTTTAAATCTACGTGGTTGAGAGGCATTTCTAATTCTTTGCTGTGTAATGGACTGTGACTGACACTGTTATTGACTGAAATTTAGGGACTGCAAGGGCCCCGACTTCAATTGACTAATCCATGCTCCACCCACAAATATGTCTTTTGTAGCAGGCGTTGCGAGGTTGAACAAGCTTTATGGAATGTTTGCAAAAATCCCATTCAACCTAAAATGTCATGCATAGCAGACAAACAGAAAAATACCTAAATTTAGAGTGCATTATTAAATTCAAACAATATTTACTTTGAATACATGAAAGGTCACACTGTTAGGACAGACTGGGTGGTTGTTTTTTTGTGTAGTCAACATCAGCATGGAGGCAAAAACTCGTATGTAGCGAATATAAACCAAAGCCCTATTTGAGCTGGATTAATTTTACCAGAGGAGGTCCAGGAATGTAATTTGTGCTTCATTTGACTGGCTGATTTGTATGGGGTAAAGGATCTGTGCAATTTCCCCAAATTTCCCCAGATAGCCCAGATCGAAACATCATCACTCAGATGTTTACATCAGCATTGTGTGACAGGCACCACACTTCTGAAAAGTAACATGTGTGCAGCTAACTGGCATATAAACTAGCATTAGGTTAGTAAAATGGGTTCATTCAACTTACCAAATGCCACCCAACAAGACAGAAAATGCACTGCCCTATGAGAAGTACTTTCAAGATAATATTTTTCCTTTTGCTTGTACCATCACCAAAATGTTGTTAATTTCAGTAGTGGAGTTTGGGTCAAATCAAACTCAGTTTTAGCTGTTAGCCTTATCTTCAGTTCACAAAAAAAAAGAAAAAAAGCAGCATTTTCTATTACATTAGTGTTATAAAAATTGCAGAAGGTGATTCACTCTGGATTTTTTACTTAGTAGACTTGTGCAAAACTACAAACATTGCAGATTTGTACTGGATTAAAATCATGTATTTTGTTGGTAATAACTTAACCCTTTAAAAGTCCCAGGCTTATTAGCTACTCAGGGTTATTTTTTAATAACTACATTGACTTCAGAGCAAACTGGTTGCGCTATTCTTAGGTTATAGAAGTGTGTAATAAAACTTTGGGCCTGCTGGCAGTTTTGTCTTTTACTGGGTTAAATTACAGCACCTCCCCAGGTGAAACTAATCCAGCTCTAATAGGGCTTAAGGCTACAAATTCTCATGAGGTTGAGTGTGATTTTTGTAAAAGAACTTTCAATTCAGGTACTTCTGTGACATACCAGCCTCTTCTAGTGCAAATGGAGAGTTCTCACTGGAAAATGAAATGAGATGCGGTGTAGTATAACCATTTATCGTTTAGTGGAAAATGCTAATTTTGAGTTTTAGATGACACTACCCTATACAGAAATCCAGACTCTAGAGAGAGAAGTATATGGTGTACATTGATCAGCCATAACATTAAAACCACCTTATTGTTTCTGCACTCACTGCACCCACTTACTTTATAGGTGCACTTTGTAGTTCTACAATTACAGACTGTAGTTTCTCTGCATACCTTATTAGCCCCCTTCCACCCTGTTCTATAACAGAGCAGGTATATGGGTGGTGGATCATTCTCAGCACTGCAGTGAAAACTTACGTGGTGGTGGTGTGTTAGTGTGTGTTGTGCTGGTACGAGTGGATCAGACTGGAGTTTTAAAACACCCCAGTGTCACTGCTGGACTGAGAATAGTCCACCAACCAAAAATATCCAGCCAGCAGCGTCCTGTGGGCAGCGACCTGTAGGCAGCGACCTGTGACCACTGATGAAGGACTAGAGGATGATCAACACCAACTGTTCAGCAGCAGGTGAGCTATTGTCTCTGACTTTACATCTACAAGGTGGGTGTGTCTAATACAGAGGACAGTGAGTGGACACAGTGTTTAAAAACTCCAGCAGCACTGCTGTGTGTGATCCACTTGTACCAGCACAACACACACTAACACACTACCACCACGTCAGTGTCACTGCAGTGCTGAGAATGATCCACCACCCAAATAATACCTGCTCTGTGATGGTCCTGTGGGAGTCCTGACCACTGAGGAACAGTGTAAAAGAGGATGAAAGGGGGCTAACAAAGTATGCAGAAAAACAGATGGACTACAGTCTGTAATTGTAGAACTATAAAGTGCACCTATATGGAAAGTGGAGCTGATAAAATGGACAGTGACTGTAGATACAAGGAGGTGATTTTAATGTTATGGCTGATTGGTGTATAGTGTAAAAATATAGTGCATAGTACTCAAATTGAGACACAAAGGTTGACTTCGATCTGGCTTTAGTAACCATGGGATGGAGAAACCCATGATTACTACTCTGGAGGCAGCCTCATTGTGTAGAGGACCAATTTGAAATACTGGATGAATTAAATTATAGCTTTTATGTGATGCTTCCATATAAATGTAATGCCTATCATATTCTTTACCTTTACAGAAGAAACAGCAATAGAGCAGCATTAAGGAGCCCCTAAACCTAAAAATAACAGTAACGAGTGTCACTGGATGTACCTCACTGTAATAGTTGAGGTTTGCTGTTAAGGATGGAAACAGTTAGGCTGTGCTTATTAAAACAAAGCAGTTGTGGATCAGGTGTAACATGGGAATGGAGCTAATAAAATGAGGTCATGAAAAACAATGGTCTTAAAAAGGTTTAAGTGTGCTTTGCAGTGGGCATGGCTCCAGTTCGGTCTTTCACTAGTGAATTTGTTCTCAAGGCCTTATAGTAGACATCCAGAAATGCTGCTCATCTGAAATGGACAGATGCACAGTGGAAACTATAATTATCGTCTGATGCGTCAACCTTTCAGGCTGTACAACAAAGTAAAGGAACATCCACGTTGTTACCAGCATAAAGTTCTAAGGCCGGAGCCTGTCATGGTATGGGGGGTATTAATGCCAATGGAATAGGTAACTTAGACATCTGTGAAGGCACCATCAACTGTGAAAGACACATACTTGTTTGAATGGTAAATGATAAAATTACAGAGGAATGGTAAACAATGCTGCTTTAAAAACTGGAACAATTGTTATCTTCAGTCCCCCAAATGTTTATTAAGATGTAACAGTGGTAAACATGCTCCTGTCCCAAATTCATTGAAATTTGTTGCAGGCATTAAATTTGAAATGAGCATATATTTATATTCATATAAAAATTAACAAACAAACAAAAAAAGACACATTTCCTAACTCATTTTATATTTTATTTAACACACTTAAAGATGGTTCTTCAAGACAAAGAACATTTTGGTACTATACTGAACCCTTTTTGCAAACCACTTTTGGTTAACCACTTTCGGTCTTTGGTTCCCAAACTGGCCCTCAGGGACCCCTACACTGTCCACAATAAGCAATAATATGGCATCTACACTGTTAGAAATAAAGGTACTGTGCAGGTACACATTTCGTTATCAAGGTACAAACAATGTAAATGTACCTTCAGAGGTACAACAGTGGTTTTAAGGTCCAACTGTGTACCTGTAAGTTTTTTCCAGGTGAAAAGTACATTTTTGTACCTTATCATAACCTGACGTTTTAAAACAGAATAATAAGATAAAAAGCCTGGAGACAAGACGGGGTGTGTGGAGTCAATACAACTTAGAAAATATAATTTTAATGGATTATGGTACAACCATGTTCCCTGACTAAAGGTACTGAGATGTACCCTTGAAGGTACCACCCCAGTGACAAGAGGGCTACTGCCCCAGTGACAGTTTTATACCTTTTTTCTGAGAGTGTATATAGCACCAAAAAGGGTTCTGCTATTGTTATGATGTCAAGCTCGTAACAATAGAAGAACCCTTTCTAGTGCTATATAGAACCATATGCAACACATTCTCCATCAGTCTGAAGAACGATTTCACAATGCAAAGAATCATTTAAGCTTAAAATGGTTCTATATAGAACTAGAACTTTGCCCTTACAAAAGAACACTGAAAAAATGAACTTGGCCCTTAGTAAATTTTACATAATAAAATTGTGCATGTTTTTCTCAATTTAAATGTGTTTTTTGCTTCAACTAAATAATAATAAGCAATGTTGAAAACCAGTAAACTGAACATATGAAACATGCTTAAAGTGAACTAGAAATAATTATGTTGTGTCACGGGGTAGAAACTGCGCATACGCTGGCACAACTTTTCCCGAGCTGACAGCAGCCGTTTTCTACACCTCGTCTCTGGGAAGATTTGGCTGACCTGAGGAAATTCTGTCCTCTTATATTTACAAGGTAGGAGATTGAATATTGTCTATTGTTTGTCATTATGGACATAAAACATATTCATGACATTTACGCAGAAAAATATTGGCAAAAACGTGAGGTTAAAGGGAGGACTTCGCATGGCATAAAATCCGCTAGCTTAGCTAGCGATAACTTAGCTAGCCAGGTTAGTTTAAAGCGACGCAGATTCAAAGAACACATAACGATACTCGGTCAGATAATCACTGAACTTACTAAAACTGAACGTAGTGTTTTAATCGTAAAGGTCAGTGTCTTAATACAGTGTGTCCTTCATAAGTATCTGTCATGTTGAGGTCCTCACTAGTTAAGTTTGCTCATCAACACAAGCGTTAGCTAACGGTACTGTGGACCTAGCCTAGCTAGCTAAGTAATGGCGCCATTTTCTGAAGTTCACTGCAGACGAGGGCGTTTAGCTGCTGTGTCATCGTACAGGTACACAGTAAAATATTGTTTAGATGGTTGTAGATGCACAGAACGCAGCGTTGGATATAACGTTGATGAAAAGGTACAGTTAAGGGACAACTAGCATAGCATAAGTTTGTGAGGGGCTCAGTTCAGCGCATATTCGAAGTAAACAGACCTAGCTAGCGTTAGCTAGCTGTGCTTCCTTGACGTGACGTGTAATAATCTTTTCCCACTGAGGAGGCTGTGCTCGCTTCGCCTGTGATTTTGGATGTGATATTTGGGTACTAGGTGTCCACAAACCTGTGTAATTTCAGCCTTAGTTAGCTAGCTTAGCACAGAGCCTGGGGTTTGGATATGGAGCCTGCTAACGCTATTGTAGCTAGCGTTAGCTTAGCAAACATAGCGTTAGCAGCTAGTAGGTTACAGACATAAGTTAACGGGTTTAATTTCAACGTTTGTCCATTTAACACTTAATGCTCTGTTCGATGAACCCAGTTTGCAATGTGCTGTTCCAACATGGGCTCTGACACCGTTAGCGCAGCTAGCTAGCGTTAGTTAGCTAAGCAGACGTTAGTGTTAGCAGCTAACTGGCCAGCTTAGTTAGTAGGCTACAAGCACGAAGCAGGTTTAAGATTAATTTCAGCTTTCTGTTCCTTCAACACCAGTCGCTCGACTTTGCTCTATCAGAATTGTCAGTGGAGATTTAGTTCGGCATAATAGAATCCGTTATCTTGTTAATTAGCAAGCTAATGCTAACTGTTCAGCCCTGTAGTGGAAAAGAGGTTTGTTTGCCCATATAACAGCAGTGTCATTAATCATTATTATAATCAGAATATAAGTTTGTATATAAGATGGTGCGCGCACACACACACACACACACACACGCACACACACACACTCGCACACATGTATTTTGCTTATGTGACTCCCCTGTCATTGTTACCAAATCAGGTTTTCCTTATGTTTGCATTTATGTTAAACATTATGGTCTTCAAGTGCCAATTGGTAGAAGTAATTATTATACTTTGATTTTGATGCTCAATAATGCACAAACCCTAGATAGGGAATCCTGATAGCCATATTGATTAAAAGAACATTGATGTGACTTAAATATCATAATTGGTTTCAAACTAAAATAATGTTCACAGGATTAAACCAAATAGCTAAATATGAGTAAAATAATATATATTATTGTAAGACTATTAAATTGTAGCCAAAATAATGCACTGTTATGTCCTTCCACATGGTGAGATAAAACATTAAGGTAAAGCGATAAAACATTAAAGTAAAGCTTAAGATAAAATGTTAACATGGTCTTTCACTTAATTTTATTTAAATGTCCTCTTTGTTTATAGGTTAAGGCTTAACAAGGTTGTTGAGTGCCATCTTTTAAAGGATTCTGTGGCATGTTCTAAGTCTCTGGTAAGTGCATTTTTATGATCCAGATTTGATATTTACCTATGAGGCTGTTTGTTTTGTAAAGCTGCCTGTTTTAAATGTTCAAATTAGTAATCATTTTTCAGTCTCTAAGATGATCGGGATTTTGATGTTCATATGTTTCTTTTATCTGTTCCTTGTACGCTTGTCAAGTTAATGTACCATTTTTTTTTTAAACAGTTGAAGGTACATTCTAACAAGTGCAATCAATATGTGCAGGTGAAGGATGTCCACCGTAAAAGAGACGCCATCATAAAAGCTCTTTCTCCGCACCTGAATGATGATGATGGATTTCTTATGTAGGAGTACATGGTAAGTATGTGACCTAAGCACATCACCATCATTCTAATTCACTTCTAATTTCTAACTAAGGTAAATTCATCTTATTTCATATTTGTGCTCTGTGTGTGTCTTCCAGGCACCTCAGTTCTTATATCAATTGCTTGTAACATTTGCTTAATAAAATCAGCCCCCTCCCATCTGTATAGTAAATCGAAATCGAAACGCGGCGTTGGTGTGTTAGTATGTTAGCACCAACCATAGATTGTAGGTGCTAGTGTGAGAAGGGTGAACTAGAACTATCCATTTTGTAATGTGTATTTACCATTGAATGGAGTTTTGTGGAGATGGGGGCTGATTTTATTTAGATTCATCGTAAAATAAGTATTTGATATTAAAAAACTGTCAGAGGTGCCTGGAAGAATTTAGAAGAGCTCAAATGAGAAATAAA